AGTGGCTCCCAGACAGCAGGAAGTAAATTAAAGAATATGACACCCACATTCCCAAGAGGTAGGATGGGTGGTTTTTGGTCAGTCAGTGGGTTATAGATATTTGTCATTATTTAGGAAGATTGGTTACAAAATGTTGGTTACAGGAAGAAAGTTGATTATATTCCAGGTTTTTGTTTTTAAAAAAGGACACAGATAGGGATTGGAGAGATGGCTCAGTCGTTAAGACCTCTGGCTGCTCTTCTAAAGGACCTGGTTCCATTCCCAGCACCCACATAAAGTTCGCAACTGCCTGTTCCTCAGTGATCAGACACTTTCACACATGCATGCAAGCAAAATACCAATACACATAAGATAAAAAAGGACACAGATAGGATAAGAGGGTAGATTACTGAATCTGCTCTTGAAAAGAAAAGGGATATAGGTATGACATCTTCAGCAAAGTGGCAGGGTACAAGATTAACTCAAAAAAATCAGTAGCTTTACTATATATAGACATTAAGTGGACTGAGAAAGAAATTAGAAAAACATCATTCTTTACAGTAGCCACAAACAACATAAAATATCTAGGGGGTAACTCTAACCAAACAAGTGAAAGACTTGTATAACAAGAACTTTCAGTCTTTAAAGAAAGAAATTAAAAGAAGATACCAGAAAATTGAAAGATCTCCCATGCTCTTGGATAGGTAGGATCAACATAGTAAAAATGGCAATCCTGCCAAAAGCAGTCTACAGATTTAATGCAATCCCCATCAAAATACCAGCACAATTCTTCATAGAACTTGAAAGAATAATACTCAACTATATATGGAAAAACAAAAAACCCAGGATAGCCAAAACAACCCTGTATAATAAAGGAACTTCCGGAGGCATCACCATCCCTGACTTCAAACTGTAGCTGTAGTCCTGAAAACAGCTTGATACTGGCACAAAAATAGACAGGTAGACCAATGGAATAGAATTAAAACCCTGATATTAACACACACAGCTACAAATACCTGATTTTTAACAAAGAAGCTAAAATTATACGATGAACAAAAGAAAGGTGTTTCAACAAATGGTGCTGGCATAACTGGAGGCTGGCATATAGAAGATTGCAGATAGATCTGTATCTATTGCCATGCATAAAACTTGTCCAAATTGATCAAATGCCTCACCTCAACATAAATCCAGCCACACTGAATCTCTTAGAAGAGAAAGTGGGAGGTACCCTTGAACAAATTGGTACAGGAGACCGCTTCCTGAACATAACACCAGTAGCACAGACACTGAGATGCACAATTAATAAATGGGACCTCTTGAAACTGAGAAGCTTCTGTAAGGCAAAAGACACAGTCAACAAGACAAAATGGCAGCCCACGGAAGCTAGTCACCAAAACACCAAAGAATACAATTAAAAAGTGGGGTACAGAACTAAATAGAGAATTCTCAATAGAGAATCTAAAATGGCTGAAAGACACTTAAGAAAGTGCTCAGCATCTTTAGCCATCAGGGAAATGCAAATCAAAACAACTCTGAGATACCATCTTACTCCTGTTAGAATGGCTAAAATCAAAAACACCAAGGATAGTTTATGCTGGAGAGGATGTGGAGAAAGGGGAACACTCCTCCACTGCTGGTGGGAGTGCAAACATTGGAAATCAGTGTGGCAGTTCCTTAGGAAAATGGTAATCAGTCTATCTTAAGATCCAGCAATTCCACTCTTAGGCATATACCCAAAAGATGCACATTCATACAACAAGGCTATCTGTTCCACTATGTTGATAGCAACATTATTTGTAATAGCCAGAACCTGGAAGCAACCTAGATGCCCCTTAACTGAAGAATGGATAAAGAAAATGTGGTACATTTACACAATGGAGTACTGCTCAGCAGGAAAAAAAAAAAGGACTCTTGAAATTTGCAGGCAAATGGGTGGAACTAGAAGAAACCATCCTGAGTGAGGTAACCCAGTCACAAAAAGACAAACTTGGTATGTACTCACTCATATATGGATATTAGACATAGAGTAAAGGATTACCAGCCTACAATCCACACCACTAGAGAAGCTAGGAAACAAGGAGGACTCTAAGAGAGACATACATGGTCCCCTGCAGAAGGGGAAAGGACAAGATCTCCTGAGAAAATTGGGAGCATTGTGGAAGGGGAGAGGGAGTTGGGATATAGAGAAAGGGAAAAGAGGAGGGGAGAGGAGGACATGAGGGACCAGGAAGATTGAGTCGGGGAAGAATAGAGGAGAGCAGGAAAAGAGATACCTCAATAGAAGGAGCCATTATAGGTTTTTTTTTTTTTTTTTTTTTTTGTTTCGAGACAGGGTTTCTCTGTGGCTTTGGAGGCTGTTCTGGAACTAGCTCTTGTAGACCAGGCTGGTCTTGAACTCACAGAGATCCACCTGCTTCTGCCTCCCGAGTGCTGGGGTTAGAGGCATGCACCACCACTGCCCAGCACCATTATAGGTTTTAAGAGAAATCTGGCACTAGGAAACTTCCAGAGATCTACAAGGATGACCCCAACTAACAGTCTAAGCAATAGTAAAGAGGATACCTTAAATGCCTTCCCCTATAATGAGATTGATGACTACCTTATATGCCATCCTAGAGTCTTTTTCCAGTAGCTGATGGAAGCCAAAGCAGACACCCACAGCTAAACATTGAGCGGTGCTCATGGAATCCAGTTATAGAGAGGGAGGAGTGATGAGCAAAGGGATCAAGACCAGGCTAGGGAAACCTGTGGGAGCTAATGGACCCCAGACTGACAGTTGGGAAACCAGCATAGGACTGAACCAGGCCCCAGGGCCAGTTACAAGGCCTGGGCAGTCTATGGGGCCGCTGGCAGTGGAACAGTATTTTTCCTTAGTGTATGAATGGAATTTGGGAGCCCATTCCCCATGGAAGGATTCTTTCTCAGTATAGAAACACAAGGGAGGGTGTAGGCCCTGTAGCAAATGATGTGACAGACTTTGATGATTCCCTATGGAAGGCCTTACCCTCCTTGGGGAGCAGAAGAGGAAGGTTTTGGGGGGTTGATAGGGGACATGGGAGGATGGGAGGGAGATGGAACTGGGATTGATATGTAAAATAAGATTGTTTCTAGTTTAAATAAAAAATACACTATAGGAAAAAAGATAAAAGGGTAGATTATTGAATCTACTTTTAAAAGCAACTACTAGTTTGATTGGACTTTTGTATATTGTATACAAATATTGTGTATTGATACAAATTTGAGATTAATTTGCTAAAACATTGTACATGTTTCTAATCTTGTTCAAGGTATTTTATTTATACAGCTCATTTAACAATGTAATGCAAACTTCTAGTCCTTGAAAATTATTTTTACAATTTTACAACATTAGGTATGTTTTCAAAGGCAAATACTTCAGAGATCTACAGAACATGGCCTTTAAATGTTTTAATAACATAGCTAATTTTTTATGACAATGAGGCATGCCTGCTCCTGGCAGCACCCATCTACTTAAGAGAAAGATGATGGGCATCGAAAAAACTCACATGGAGTTTGCTTTCCTTGTGGCAGTGGTAAGCCACTGGGCAAGAAAGTGCCCTTACCTTGACTGCTGGCAGTATGCTGTCCAAATTGGACAAACAGGACATAAAAAAGAGAGACTGCAAAACCTTGCCAAGACAATCCTGCTTTACAGAAATGTCTGTCAGAAATGCTAGGCCTATAGACTGAATATGGATGCCCATATTCTGTAGAGGAACGTTGGGTGACTGTCCAGGCAGCCAGCTTTTTTTGTCATTTCTCAAATTTTTTGGAAGTTGCTTGATTGTGTCATTAGATTGCAGGTGTGTGACACTCTTCCTACTTGTGTATGTTTTGAATTTTTTAAAATAAATACGAGTATTTTGCCAGTATGCAGGGATATTCACTGTATGTGTAGCTGGTACTCCTAGTAGGCAGAAATGGTCTCAGTACTCCTGAACTTGGAACTGTGGATAGTTGTGAGCTATGTAAGTACTTGCAATTGAACCTATCTCTTCTACAAGGTCATCAAGTGCTGTTAACCGCTGAGTCATCTCTCCTGCCCTATTTTTTAAATTTACATTTACAGTGCGTACATTTTCATCTGTGCGTCTCTAATGGGTTAAACATGTATTCCCTTTTATAAACACTTAATAATCCTATAGTTTTAACTGTGACACTTCATGTTTCTAGGAGATTACAGAACTGGAATAATTGCACATCTCTATATAGGCAGGAACATCAGTGAGACCTTTTTTTGTTTCTATTGTTGGTTAGGTTTTTTTTTTTTGGGAGGGTCTTAATATGCTGAACTCATTTCATAGATATACTGGGTGCTCCAGTAAAAGGCATGAGGCAATATACTCACCTTGGCCATCTTTTTTTTTTTTTTTTGGTTTTTACGAGACAGGGTTTCTCTGTATTGTTTTGGAGGCTGTCGGTCCAGCCCAGCCTTGAACTCACAGAGATCCACCTGCCTCTGCCTCCCGAGTGCTGGGATTAAAGGCGTGCGCCACCACTGCCCGGCTTCTTTTTTTTTTTAAAGATTTATTTGTTTATTATGTATACAGTGTATCCCTGCAGGCCAGATGGGGGCACCAGATCTCATTACATATGGTTGTGAGCCATCATGTGGTTTCTGGTAACTGAACTCAGGACCTCTGAAAGACCAGCCAGTTTTCTCAACCACTGAGCCATCTCTCCAGCCCTGCTTGCCCATATTTCTTTGTGGTTACTGTTCATTCAATTTCTCTGACATGTACTTAGAACTGTTGATTTGTTTGTCTCTCTGTATGTCTGTTAATAGTCATTTCTCTTAGAAGGGTAAATCCCATTCAAAGGGCCAAGAAATGTCAGTGTGAATCTCTTTCAATTTTCTTTTAAAGTGACTTGGGGATTATAACTTCTCTGCCATGGAGTATATGTGGGAAGCACTAGAAATATGCAAATATATTGGCAAAGAAATATACATTTAAATTGTGATCAATATCACTTTCTGTTATACACATGTATGGGATATTTAGAATACAGTGACCTATGATGATGTGCATATCGACTTTACTTGGGACGAGTGGGCTTTGCTGGATCCTTCCCAGAAGAGTCTCTACAAAAATGTGATGCTGGAGACCTACAGAAACCTCACTGCTATAGGTAATACACTGAATTTTATTTTAATGTTTAAAATAAAAAGACAACTTTTTGTTGGTTCTTAATGCCCTTCTTTAATTTGGCTTGATAAAGGGGAAGAATGTGGTTAATAAGTCAGGCATGGGTTTTACTTTCAGTAGATATATTAACTTAACTTTTACATAATTTCCAATAATATAGCATACATTTTCTGTTATTATATTTTAGGCTACAAATGGGAAGAACACAATATTAAAGAACTTTCTCAAAGACCTAGAAGAAATGGAAGGTAATTTTTATGTGGAAACTAATACAAATGTCCCACAGAAGAATTTTTTCCCTATTTTTTTGAGACAGGGTTTCTCTGTGTAACAGTTCTGACTGTCCTGGCACTCTCTTTATAAACCAGGGTGGCCTTGAACTCCACAGAAGAATTTTAATGTATTCTAGAAGTTTTAAGGAAAAGCAATAGTGTAAATATAAGTTAACAATGAATTGTTTTTCAAATCTCATTGGAAATACATCAACAAACTCACACCACAGAAAAGCCATTTAAGTACAAAGCAAGTAAATTATTATTTTTTGTCCTGATTCACTTTGCAACTGTAGTATGACTCACAGTATAGGAAAATGTTATGAATGTAATCAGTGTGGTAAAGCTTCGAGTTCTTCCAGTTCTCTTCAGTTATATGAAAAACTCATGAAAAATGATATTATAAGAGTGAGCCATGTACTAAAGACTCTGACCATCACTGATATCTTCAAATAACCAAAAGAACCCATAATAAGAGGAACCCTGTGAATGTAAAGAACACGGTAAACTTTATTGTCTAATTCCTCTTTGCCATTAGTCCATACTGCAAAATTAAGTCATACAGATAAAAACATGTGTCAGAGTAATGAATTTGTTAAAGCATTTACATGTGCCAATTATCTTCACAGGCATGAAAGACGTCATACTGGAGAGAAACAGTATGAATGTAGTCAATGTGGTAAAGCCTTCGCACAGCAGAGTAATCTCCAAATACATAGAAGAACTCATACTCGAGAGAAGCCCTATGAATGTAATTATTGTGGGAAAGCCTTTGCACGTTATACTCATCTCCAAAGTCATAGAAGAATTCATACTGGAGAGAAACCCTATGTATGCAATCAGTGTGGTAAAGCCTTTTCACAACAGAGTCATCTCCAAGTTCATATAACAACTCATACTGGAATGAAACCCTATGAGTGTAATCAATGTGGGAAAACCTTTGCATGTTACAGTTATCTTCAAAGTCATAAAAGAATTCATACTGGAGAGAAACTCTATGAATGTAATCAGTGTGGGAAAGCTTTTGCACGTCACAGTAATCTTCAAAGGCATAAAATAATTCATACAGGGGTGAAACCCTATGAATGTAATCAGTGTGGGAAAGGCTTTTCTCGACAGAGTTATCTCCAAATACATAAAAGAACCCATACTGGAGAGAAACCCTATGAGTGTAATCAATGTGGTAAAGCCTTTTCACGACAGAGTTATCTCCAAATACATAAAAGAACCCATACTGGAGAGAAACCCTATGGATGTAAGCAATGTGGGAAATTCTTTGCAGATTACACTTATATTAAAGTACATGAAAAAATTCACACTGGAGTGAAACTATATGAATGTAATCAGTGTGGGAAAGCCTTTTCACAGCCAAGCTATCTCCAAGTTCATAAAAGAATTCACACCGGAGAGAAACCCTATGAATGTAATCATTGTGGAAAAACTTTTGCATGTCACAGAAATCTTCAAAGGCATAAAAGAATTCATACTGGACAGAATCCCTATGAATGTAATCAGGGTGGGGAAACCTTTTCACAAGAGCGTCATCTCCAAGTTCACAAAAGAACTCATCAGGGAGAGAAACCCTGTGAATGTAAGCAATGTGGAAAAGCCTTTGCATGCCCCAATTATCTTCAAAGGCATGAAAGAATTCATATTGGAGAGTAACCCTATGAATGTAATCAATGTTATAAAGTCTTTGCATTTCACCATAGTCTTTGAAACCATGAAAGAGTTCAGCTAAGAGTAAAACATGTAGTGTATAATCTATCTGTTAAAGCCTTCATATATTACAGTAATCTCTGAGGACACAGAACTTGCACTGAAGGGGAATCTATAGGCATAAAGGATTTAGCCAACAAACTTACATTTAGTTACACAATATTGTTTATTGTAGGGATAAAATCTGACAAGTGTCAACAATCTATTCAAGCATTATGATATCTCTTTATTTTGTTTGCACTTACAAACTCATATGGACGAAAGCCCTGTGGATTTAATTAGTAAGGCAAACATTTTAGGTATCACATTTATCTTCAATTGTATGAAATAACTTATTCAGGAGTAAAATTTATGTATGTGTACTAGAGTTTTTCTGTGATAAAACACAAAATCTAAGGCAACTTAAAAAAGAGCTTAGTTTGACTTACAGTTCCAAAGCAAAACAAGATCATCAAGAGAGAGGTATGGCAGCAAATGCCAGGCATGACAGCTAAAGCAGGAATCTTAGAGCTCACATCCTCAACATAATGTATGGAGTAGAGAGTGTGACCTGGAAGTGGTGTGAGGATTTTAAAATCTCAAAATCCACCAACAGTGACACATTTCCTATAAAGGGTGGCATTTTCTAAACTTTTCCAAATGATACCAACAACTGAGAAGTATTGGTTCTCTGACTTTGAAGCCTACATGAATTTTTTTCTGTTATATGAACCAATTCATGATTAAGAAAATACATCTGGTTTACAGGCAAGAATGCTTACACAAGAAAAATAGTCACGGGTGAAAATGATTGTTTATTTGTTTTAACTTTTGTTTTCATTATGTCCATGTGTCTTTGGATATATTCATGTGCTTATTATGCATGTGCTTAGTGGTTCCCAAGAAGGGTAGACCCCGTAGTCTCCTGGATTTCTACCTGGAATTACAGGAAGTTGTCAAAAAACCTCACCTGGATTATGAGCATGAATTTGTCTTAACTGCTTGGTACTGTCTCTAGCACTATAAATATTAAAGATTTTATATGTCATCTTGACATTAGGAAACCAGAAACCCTAGGTAAAGACTTTAAACATCAGAGCCATCTTCAGTTTTAAGTGAGAAAGTCATGTTTCATTTCTATTATCATAGCCTTGAAATTGTTTACTATGTTCACTAAAATCTGATGGTGGAGATCACAGTATTGTGGTTTATATTTTGAAACCTTTGGAATAGTAATTGAAGTGTTCAGTATATGTGATAAATTCACTTACTGAGGTTTATTTGGTGGTTCATATATTCCTTCTTTGACTTCTGTTAATGTTCTGTTGTGCTTTGACTTGATGGTAGATATTTTTCTGCTGAAATGTATAGAATGAGTTGTCCATCATCTAAGTGGTCCATTGTTTAATTAAATATCTGGCAGTATATGATAATAATTTTCAAGTAAGGGTGTCTGTGAAAGGGTGGTGGGTTATTGTTCCTGGTTTTGATTTTCACACTTTCACAAATTCCCTTTAGATGCTGTTTGTTATCTATCCTGACTTGGATACCAGTAATTCATCAGAGCTAGATTTGAACTTATGTCAGCCTCCTGAGTACAAATATAAGTATAGAAGATAGAGCCCTAATGTGTCCTGTTTTGGCAGTGCATTTTAACAATGTTAACGATAAAATGTTTAATAGAAGATAATATAAGAAACATTAAATACCTCACGTGTGTACCCAAAGCAGCATTTTCATCTATCTGGTAGAGATATAATAAAGTAGAATAATCAGCAATCAACTGTATATCTCATAACATAGCTTGATATGCTATGGATATGTATAGATTTTTTTGACATTCCTGCTTCTTTATGATCCATTTTTTTTATCCACTTGACACTGCGTCTTGAAGTATTGTTTCTTAAAGGAGTTATCTAGAGATGCCAGATAATGTAAGGGCAATGAAGTTTATTTTCTAAAGCACATTTCTGTGGGTGTCATGTGATTATGGATTTGACAGGGTGACAAATACATTGAGACAAAAAGAAAACTTTGTAGGGTTTCTTTTGGCCCTCTTCATATGGTGATCAAGGTCAGGTTACCAGCTTTGCACATCAGAGACACCTTTTTCCTAATAAGACAGCTCAGATAAGATTAGTAGACACATTACATGAGTAAAATATTGTCTCCTATTCAAATTGTAAAATGACATATTGTCATTTAGGGATAGAGGAACACAGAATATAATTTAAATAATTAATTCTATTTGCAAATAAATATATTTATACTGTCATCTCTTTTTTTATTGTGTTTGTTAGTTTATTCTGGGGACTAAGCACTGGTTGATAATACTTTCTCAGAAACACAAATGAATGCCAGAGAATTGTCTTAGTGGGTGCAGTTGGTTGCTACTAAGCTTGATGACCTGAGTTCAATCTCTGGGAGATCCATGCTTCTAAAAGTTTTTATTTCTGCACTTGAGCTCTTTCATGTGCACAACACTAACACATAGAAAAATAAGGCCAGTGAGGTCACTTGCAACCATTTGATCACTAAAACTCACATAGACAGAATAGTAATTGAAAGCTCTAAGTTGTCCTGTAAGTATCACATGCACACCATGGGACAAGTATATACACAGTGTTAAAACAGTTTAAAAAGTTGAAATTAACAAAACAAAGAAAATAACCAAAATATTGAGACTATATGAAATGATTTACCAATTGAAATTAATACATTGTAGAATTTTAAGAAGAGTTAGTATTCATCAAAACAATGATGGTTCCTGTTTAAAATTCACATTATCTTTCCATTCTGATTCAAAGATTGGTCATTTAAACAGCATATCCCAGCTGGGTGTAGTGTAAGTCTGTGACCACAACATTTGGGAGACAGGGTCAGGAGGATCTCTAACTTTGAGACCAGCATGGTCCATATAGTGAGTTCTAGGACAGCCATGGCTATGTAGAGAGATTCTATCTCAAAAAATTGCTCCCTCAAAAAAATAAGAAGAAAAATCCATAACTCAAATTATGGAAATTGTTTTATACAGTCTGGGTAGATCTCTGTTGCAGGAATTTTGTCATTGGTCCACTAGCCAATTAAGGAGTAGCTTGGTCCAAAGGGCAGAGTTTTCATTAGCGGATACATGACCAAATACTGGAATAAAAGGTTAGGGCGGGATAACAGTCTCTTGGACAATGAATGGGCTGGCAGTGAGCACATGTGACTGATAGCTTCAGACACAGCAATGGTATATTGGCTGGACCCACTGAAGTAGTACTTTGTTCTGCCCTGTGAGTGTAGTACTTTGATTCCTGATTTGTCTGTTAATAAACCATACGTTTGGATTCCTTCATTAGATCTCTACTCAAAAAACCTTTCGTTGCCTTTACTCACATCAAGTGTGTTAACCATGACAAACAATATGGAGAGTCCACTAACAGAGGGCTAGAAATCCATTGAATTCTTCAATGTCATTACCTTCAAGTGATAGATGACAGGAGTAATGGGACATCTTCACCTTCTGCATTATAATGACATATTTGGGAGCTGGAGAATTGTCTCAGTAGTACTGATCATGTTAGATACCCAAGCTTGGTCTCTAGCACCCACATCAGATGACTCAGACTATTTATAATGCCAGCTCCAGTAGATATGCACACTGTATGTCTTCTTGGGCACCAGGTATGCAAATGGTGGAAAGACAGATATATATGTGACTCCATATTGTAAAATTGGTTTTCTTCATGTAGGTGTTATTTTCTAATTAAAATTAATTTAATTTAGGTGTATAAATTTTGCTAATGTGTATATTAGTTGCATGCCAGGTACCAATGTTGGCCAGAAGATGTTGTCAGATCCCCAAGCCTGGTTCTATAGACAGTTTTGAGCTGTCTTGCGGGTGCTAGGAACCAAAGCAAGCCCTCTGGACAAAAAAAATCCAGTGTTCTTGGCTGCTAAGACATCTATTAGCTGTATATACATGTCATTAATAGTAGTAAGATGTAAATGGCTGTTTTTTCAGTTCATCTTTACCTCAGCCCTGATGACCCAGAAGATTGATAACATCAGAAATTAACTTAGACTTGGTGCTTTAACAAATTTCTGAGCCTAAATCTCCACACAATGAAGGAAGAATACAAAGAATGATCAGGCAAGAATATGACAATAGAAGTCTTGAAATTTCTGTCCACTTGACCAAAGCCACAAGAGTTTATTCCAAACATGATAAATAGCAATTGGAGCCCACAAGGACATAGGTCAGGTGTACCCCAGCAAGAGTTTATGCCTTCTTCAAGGAGAAAATAGGAACTTGCAGGCATGAAGATTGACTGTTAGAAAGGGATTGTATGCTTCCCTGATTCCTGTGACTAGACTGGAAAATGTAAACAAAAACATTGTTTTGTTTCAGTGCATGATTAGGCCAAAGTGGACAGCAAATATATATCAAAGGGTTCCTTAGAAGAAAGGTCTTGGAGATTTCAGGTAGGTACCTGGGGCTAGGCATTAAGGTCCAGCACAGCCTGCTGTAAAACCTGCCTGCTGGCAACAGCTTTTCTTTGTTTTGTTTTTTAAGCACCTGATGTTCATTTCCTTTGATTCTGGTAGGGCCTGTGCTTCTCCAAGAATGGTTCTAGGCTGATGCAAATTTTACATGGGCCTTCCAAGCCCAACTATTTAAAAGTGCCAGATGATGCCTTGCTAGTTTTGGAGGCACATGCCTAATACAATTCTTCACTTCCCTCTTGAAGCCACTAAATATATCAGGTAATGCAGTGTGCCAAAAAAAAAAAAAAAAAAAAAAGGAAAAAAAGAAAGAAAGCTAACACACACCATATAAATCTGGTGTCGCCTCTTTAGTATAAATGTGGTAATCCTTTTCGTGCTCAGTTGCAGCAGGAAGTTTATGGATATCTCCATCTTGTTTTATGTCACAGGAACCAAGAAGTCGCATGACATTGCCATTTTTTGGGGAAAGCATTAGCAAAAAAATGTCTAATTCATATGGCTGCTTCCATTGTGTTGAGGTCACAAGCAAAATGGGAGAAAACCATATGGTTCCTTTTTGCTCAAGGTTAGCTCAGCCCCATGGGAAGGTGAACCCATCTGCAATGATGTAAAAATCTCCACAGGATCCACACGTATCACAGGTTAAATGTGTACTGTTGCTCCTAAACATAATCCTATTGAGCAATTCTTAGGCTTTCTGCTTCTCATATTGCTTTAGAAACAGGTTTTCTTTAATAAATAGTTGGGAGAGTTCTCTGGGTGTCTTGAATTTATACTTCAGATTGAACATGTTCAACATCTTAATATTGAATCATCATGTACACAAGGATCATCAAATGACTCAACATTTATTAAGTTCTTTTTATTATTATTATTTTATTTAGGTTAGAAACAATCTTGTTTCACATGTCAATCCCAGCTCCCTCTCCCTCCCCTCCTTTCCCACCCTCCCCATTAGGTTCTCCAGTCCCCCACCCAATCTCTACTCCGATCATCAAGGAGGGTGAGACACTCCATGGTGGATCTCCAGTAACTGTCATTTCATCCAGGGCAGGGCCTATGCCCTCCCCCAAGAGTCCTGGCGGAGAGAGCCTCCCATATTATGGCATGGGCACTCAAAGTCTATTTGTACGCCAGGTAAATACTACCCAAGGCCCCATAGATTACCTAGGCCTCATCACTGACACCCACATTCAGGAGGTCTGGGTCAGTCCCATAGTTTCCATACAGTCATAAATCTGGAGTCCAAGAGCTCCCCCTTGTTCAAGTCAACTGTTTCTGTGGGTTAAACCAGCCCACTTTTGACTCCTTTGCCCATCAGTTCTCTCTGACACTGGATTCCAGGAGTTTAGTTCAGTGTTTGTCTGTGGGTATCTGCCTCTGCTTTCATCAGTCGCTGGATGAAGGTTCTGTTTCCGAGACTCTCTGGCAGTGGGATTGTATGCTAGCACTCCCCTGATTCATGTCTAAAATCCATAAATGAGTGATTACATACCATGTTTGTCTTTTTGTGACTGGGTTACCTCACTCAGGATGGTTTCTTCTAGTGCCATCCATTTGCCTGCAAATTTCAAGATTCCATTGTTTTTCTCTGCCGAATAGTACTCCATTGTGTAAATGTACCACATTTTCTCTATCCACTCTTCAGTTGAGGGGCGTCTAGGTTGCTTCCAGGTTCTGGCTATTACAAATAATGCTGCTATGAACGTAGTGGAACAGACATCCTTGTATGAATGTGCATCTTTTGGGTAAATGTCTAAGAGTGGAATTGCTGGGTCTTGTGGTAGACTGATACCCATTTTCCTGAGGAATCTCCATATTGATTTCCAAAGTGGCTGTACAAGTCGGCACTCCCACCAGTGTTAGTTGTTATGTCCCCCCTTTCGTTTCTGATTTTGTTAATTTGCATGTTCACACTCTGTCGTTTGGTAAGTTTGGATAAAGTTTTGTCTATCTTGTTGATTTTCTCAAAGAATCAACTCTTTGTTACATTGATTTTTTGTATTGTTTTACTAGTCTCTGCTTTATTGATTTCAGCCCTCAATTTGACTATTTCCTGGCATCTACTCCTCCTGGGTGAGTTTGCTTCTTTGTGTTCTAGAGCTTTCAGTTGTGCTGTTAATTCGCTAGTGTAAATATCCACCAGTTTCTTCATGTGGGCACTTAGTGCTATGACCTTCCCTCGTAGCACTGCTTTCAAAGTGTCCCATAAGTTTGGGTATGTTGTGTCATCATTCTCATTGAATTCTAGGAAGTCTTTAATTTATTTTTTTTATTTCTTCATTGACCCAGGAATGGTGCAATTATGCATTATTCAACTTCAATGATTTGTAGGGTTTCTGCAATTTGTGTTGTTGTTGAATTCTAACTTTAAAGTATGGTGGTCTGATAAGGTGCATGAAGTTATTACATTTTTTGTACCTGTTGAGATTTGATGTTGCCAAATATGTGGTTGATTTTTGAGAAGTTTCCATGTGGCGCTGAGAAGAAGGTATATACTTTTTTGTCTGGGTGGAATGTTCTATAGATGTCTGTTAATCCTAATTGGGTCATAATTTCCTTTGCTTCTTTGTTAAGTTTCTGTCTGGTAGTCCTGTCTAGAGGTGACAGTGGGGTGTTGAAATCTCCCACTATAAGTGTGTGGGGCTTTATATGTGATTTGAGTTTTAGTAATGCTTCTTTTATGAATGTGGGTGCCTACTTTGTATTTGGGGCATAGATGTTCAAAATTGAGACTTCATCTTGGTGTATTTCTCCTGTGATGAGTATGAAGTGCCCTGC